TCGAATATTCATTTGTGACTGGGTTTTTAGTTATTCCATAATAATTAATAAAGACAGCGCATTTAAGAGCAATCTTAATCTATTTTGAAAGATTTGTATTGCATTAGAAATCAAAAGACAACTTTCACTTTAGATTATTTTCTTCTTTACCTCGCGCATAAACTCTGGAGTAATTTTTTTTGAACTGTGTAATGTTTTCAACACAATTTCCATTTTTTCACCCTGTCGTTTAAATTTATTTTCTTCATGATCCCACTTGGAATAATAATCTATTGGTCCATCCAACCAGGTTGCTTTATAAATTGTCCCAAAACCTCCTTTTGCAAGATATTTAACGTTGGTAAATCTTTCAAAAGGAGTCCATTCGAATATGTTTTTGTTTCTATATTTAATTTTGTTGCATTCTTTTATTAGATTGTCGATACCTTTATCTCCACTAGACAATTCATCTTTATAAATTCGTTTGTGATATTTGAAACAATTGTCGCAGTACTCATTTTTTTGACATTTACTACATTTACTACAGTCATGAGTATTGTGAACTAAACACTCATCGCAGCAATTATCTTGACAATCGTCACATTCATTACAACAATGATGAGCATTTGATTCCATCGTTAAGTTCACTTTATATTTGTGAAGTTCGCCATAGCATGCATGCATTACTATCAAATATTCGTTTATTGCTGCATTTTTAGTCATTCCATAATATGCTATCAAGCTGCCGTAATCATAGCATTTAAGCCAAGTTTGAATCTATTTTTATAAAATTTGATTTATCAGAAAAACAACTTTCACGTTAGAAAATATCTATGTTTTACCTCATTTATAAACTCTAGCGTAATTTGCTTTGAATTGTGCAACGATTTCAACACAACTTTTCTTTCTCCCTTTCGTTTAAATTTATTTTCTTCATGATCCCAAATGGGATATTTATCGTCATAGTACAATGGTCCATCCAACCAGGTTGCTTTATAAATTGATCCAAAACATCCTTTTGCAAGATATTCAACATTGTTAAATCTTTCAAATGAAATCCATTCGAATATATTTTTATAATTATAACTAAATTTGTTGCAATCTTTTATTAGATTGTAGATATCTTTATCTCCGCTAGATAATTCATCGTTATAAATTCGTTTGTGATATTTGAAACATCCATTGCAGTCCTCTTTTTTTTGACAGCTAGTACATTTATTACAATCATGCGATTCCATCACTATCGAATATTCATTTGTAACTGGGTTTTGAGTTATTCCGTAATCAATAATATCGTCATCATCTGCACTGCCGCATTTAAGAGTAGTCAGGATCTATTTTTGAAAAATTTAATTGTATTAGAAAACAAAAAGCAGCTTTACATTAAAAATCATTCATTTTTTTTTACCTCTGGTGTAATTTGCTTTGGGTTGTGTAATGTTTTCAACACAACTTTTCTTGCTCCATATCGTTTAAATTTATTTTCTTCATGAACCCAATAAGGGTGAGCTAATGGTCCATCTAACCAGGTTGCTTTACAAATTGGCTCAAAACCACCTTCTGCAAGATATTCAACGTTAGTGAATCTTTCAAAAGGAATCCATTCGAATATATTTCGATCTTGATAATTAGTTTTGTTGCATTCTTTTATTAATTTGTCGATATCTTTATCTCCACTAGACAATTCATCATTATAAGTTTTTTTGAAATATTTGAAACAGTCATCGCAGTATCTATCCTTTTGACAGTCAGTACATATAATACAACTAAGAGTCTTTGAGTCCACTTTATATTTGTAAAGGTCACCATAGATAGATTAATGGATTAGTTAAATAAATTATTAAAATCAAAGAAAATTAAAATGAAAGATGCAAATAAAATCGTTGGTTTCTTACGTCCTAAATAAAAGATAAAATAATGCATTAGTTAAATTAATTATCAATATCAAAGGAAATTAAAATGAAAGATGCAACATAAAATCGTTGATTTCTTACCAACTAAATAATAGATAGAATAATGGATTGGTTAAATAAATTATTAATATCAAAGGAAATTAAATAAAAGATGCAAATTAAAATTTTTTGTTTCTTACGCTCTAAATATAGAATAGAATAGTAATGGATTAGTTAAATATCAAAGAAAATTGAAATGAAAGATGCAAAATAAAATCGTTGATTTCTTACCAACTAAATAATAAATAGAATAATGGATTAGTTAAATAAATTATCAATTTCAAAGAAAATTACATGAAAAATGCGAAATAAAATCGTAGATTTCTTACGAACTAAATAAAAGATAGAATAATTGATTAGTTAAATAAATTATTAATATAAAATGAAAATTAAATGAAAGATGCAAAAAATAAGGTCGCTGATTTCTTACTTTCTAAATAAAAGATAGAAAAACGATAATGGATTAGTTAAATAAATTATTAATCTCAAAGAAAATTAAAATGAAGATGCAAAATAAGATCGTTGATTTCTTACCATCTAAATAAAAGATAGAAAAATGGAATAGTTAAATAAATTATTAATATCAAAGAAATTAAAATGAACTGTGCAGAATGAAATCGTTGATTTCTACCAACTAAAAAAAAAGATAGAACAATAGATTAGTTAAATAAATTATTAATATCAATGAAAATTAAAATGAAAGATGTAATATAAAGATTGTTGAATTCTTACGCTCTAAATAAAAGATAGAATAATGGATTAGTTAAATTATTATTATCGTTATCAATGAAAATTAAAATGAAAGATGCAAATAAGATCGTTGATTTCTTACGTTCTAAATAAAAGATAGAATAATTAGTTAAATAAATTATTTAATATTAAAGATAATTAAATGATAATTTTAATAACATCGTAATTTCTTACTTTCGTCATCATCACTAATTAAAGAGTTAAGATAATTAATTACTTGATATTAACAAAAAATAAGGTTAACTATAATTTCTACCGTCTTTTTGGACATTTAAGAGCCAATTCAGCCTTAATTGCACAATTATTATTTAATAATTGAATTAGTACAAAGATGAATATATAACTATAGAAATAGGAATTTCGTATATTTATCGAACAAATTCAAAGTGTGTCTTTAGACATCATCGTTAATATTAATTACCTCATGTAATAATTCTTTTATTGTCCCAAATGACTTCAATGCAACTTCTTTATTATCCAAAACACCTTTGTACACTTCACCAAACCCCCCTTCGGCGATTTTCTCAATTCCAGGTGTCGATCGATTAAAATTTTCGATTTCTTTATTTGATTCTATGTCTGCCATATATTTATGATATATTCAAAGAGGACGAGCGATTTATAATGAATAAGTTTCCGTCAATTGAATAATTTTTGAGCAATGAAAAAATAATTGACAGTGATCTGGGTTTAAATGAACGATATGCATTGCTTATTACATGTAGTACGTATACTTTAAGAGATTTCAGGTTCCACATGGACAAAGTTTTTTTGTGCATAGAATTTGAATCACCACCGGCTACACATATAGTTGTGTACATGTACAGTGGCCTGCAAAAATAACGCACCACTTACATTATTAATCGTTAATCACCTGATTCTCACTCACATGCAATCCGATGAACGCAAAAAAGATTTGCCATCAACGTCTAATACAGTTCTTTTAATAAGTAAAAAATATGGCCAAACATTTACTATTAACACACTATACATGTATATTTTATAAAATAGATGAAGAACATGAATTACAAACGCAAATAGAAAGTTTGGTTTTTCATTATTTGCAAAACGGAAGTGCTATTTGTCTACAAATTGAATGTGCACTATGTACGTTACATTGATTTTCAAAAAAAATACATGTATAAATATTGAAGTAAAATTCTGCGAAAACAATTGGTATAAATTCGCATCTTTAAAACTTAGTAAGTTTATATTTAGTTTTGGAGCTTAACATTCTTGTTAATCCTTTAATATTAACGATAAATGATCCGAATTTAGCTGCATAATGATAGGCTTACATCGAGTTCCGGATATCATTTTACACCGAACTCTACATCTAAGTTTATTAAATACATATATAAAAACATTTTATAAATGAGCTCGGTGATGGAATTTAATACTATACATGTATTTGTAATAATTACTTTTTTGTCAAAGATAATAGAAGTAAATTATTGTTAATCAATTAAAAAAAGAAATCTTTTTATTTACGTCAAAAGCAATCCTCTTCATAAAGTTTCTCACTTCTTTTCATTAAGCTCGCTGAAATCACGTATGATTATTTTGGTACATGTTAAATATGCATTAACAAAAAATAAGTTAGCATGTACTTTCTCGCATTTAACAAATTATGCTTCTCTCTCTTGTTTGCATCTACCGGAAAGATTATGAATTTAATAAAACTATTAGACGTGACCAATAATATTTATTGTTCTGAACTCAGTCTCGACTAAAACCTTCTTTTTTGGCTTATACTTATAATTAGGAAATAAGCTTTTATAATTTTCATAAGCCATTTCTCTAATATTTTGGAAGAAAAATTAACTATTAGGTAATTTTTAAAAACGAATAAAATCGCTGGTTTTTTGCACACGAGCTCACCATTTTAATCTAAAGTGATAATAAAAAAAATACGGTAAACTGTTTTTGCATCTAAAGACATATATATTTGTTCTTTATAAAAGCGTATGTGACATTTAACTAAAAATAGTTAAATCACCAATCATTGGTGCAATAAGGTAACTTAAAAGCTATAAATACAAGTGTTTTTCTTTTTCAACTATGTGCTCAGCTCTAAAAATGTACGTATCTTTTTTAATTTTATAGTATATGTAAAGTCATTAGGTTGCTGCGCGACAATTTATCCGAAACGTGCTGTAACAGTAACAAACTTGACTGTATTTTCTATTAATAGCATTTCCATTAAAATATAATTTTCTCATTTATAACACATTCTTAACTGTAATATCCATTCATTAATCGAATCTAACCACATTTTTTTTAAATTTAAATCAAGGCTTGGAAATAGAGATTTAAGCGATGTGGATTCTAATAGCGAAGAAAGCGGCAATACAGTTTCAATCAGATGAATATCACACCGAAGCGCAAATTATTCATAAAAAATGGTTTGATTGCGGAAACTTTAGGACTAATTTTGCATGTTGTCACTCTTGTGAAACTATCTGGTTTAAGGAAAACTATTCAAATTGGACAACTGGCAATTTGCAGCTTGATTCAATTATACAAAAAAGCCAAGCCGAAGCAAATATAAGTGGCGATTATCTTGAATACATTCCTTTCGAACAATTTGAACTGGTTGAATTCTATAAAGCTGGGACATTTAGTGAAATTTATTCTGCTATTTGGTTAGAAGGACTTAAGTGGGATTGGAATGAAGACATTCAGGCTTGGTCGCGAGGTGGTCCAATAAAAGTAGCGTTGAAAAAGCTTAAAAATTCTCAAAACTTGAGCAAACATTTCTTGGAAAAAGTAAATTGCTGTTTTTATTTGATAAAATTAAATTATATGAATTATTGACAAAATATTTCCTTTTTTATTTTAGTTACGGAAATATCTACATTGTCTTCAATCGGGTAGTATGGCAGATACATTTGGCATTACGAAAGATCCAGAGGGGTCTTTTATATTTGTAATGAGATTTTGTGAGAATGGTGATTTTAATCAATACATCAAAAATAAGGACATTAACTGGAAAGACAAAATCGATTTATTATGGGGAATTATTGTTGGCTTGGAAAGTATTCATAGATTGGTCTTTATCATGGAAACTTACACGATGGGAATATAATGATTGAGGATGAATCAATTTCGACTAGTGGAAGAATAGCTGATATAGGAATTCATGGACCAGTTGATATTCCAACTGATAAATCATATGGTGTTCTTTCTTATATCGCACCGGAATTCATGGACCAGTTGATGTTCCAACTGATAAATCATATGGTGTCCTTCCTTATATTGCACCAGAAGTTCTTTTGGGAGAAAAACAATCAAAAGAAGCTGACATTTATAGTTTCGGCATTATTATGTGGTCACTTGCAACTGGACAAAAACCATTTTCTGAGAGAGCGCATGATGTCGCTTTAGCAATGGATATTTGTAATGGGATTAGACTAAATGAAATTGAAAATGCGCCGAGATGTTTTTCTGATTTGATGAAAAGATGTTGGGAATCTGATCCAAAACAAAGACCAACAGCATTTGAATTGAATGAAACATTTAGCGATTGGATAACTGATATATGTGATAATCCAGCACCGACTGAAATTAGCGAGGAATTTAATGACGCTGAAGAAAGAAGATGTGAGGCCTTTCAAATACAGAAAAACATATCACAAGAAATTCATAAAGATGCGTTTTACACAAGTCGATTTTTTAACTTTCAACAACTAAAAGAAAAATATGGTGCCAATACTTAAAGATGCGCTTTACATAATTAACACCACCACTTAAGAACATTCAGTTACTATTTATAGTACATACAATTTATTTTGCTCAATTCAGTTAGATTATCGCTTTAGAATTACATTTATATGTACTTTAAAACTGACATTTAATTCTGCAACAAAATTTAAGTGATCAAAATTTCTGTTTTCTTTTTAATTCATTTCTTTCTTAATTTATTCATTTTATCCGCGCAATTACATTCTTTTGTCATATTCAGTTTCATAGTCATTTTATTCTTTAGTTCTCGTTAGTTATTTGGTTTTATATTATAAGTATCTCGTTTTATGCTTATATTCAAGTTTCTTTCGTCATGTATTTCGTTCTGTTCTTGATTCATCATTTTATATAAAAATCTGTTATATTCATTTCTTCGCTTTTATTTGTTATTCTTTTCGTCTTTCATCCATGTATTCGCTCCATTCTCATAATTATATATTATGTTGTTTCGTCATGTATTTCGTTCTATTTTATATGCGCTTTGTTCTATTATTCATAGATTCTTATTATTCGCTCGTCATATAATGTATTTTGTTCTCATCAATTAGATAAAAAATTTAGTTAGACTCATTTCTATTTAATTTTTTGACTTAATTTGTTATTTTTTCCGACTTTCGTCATTATAATCATATCTATTATGTTTTTTCATCATGTATTTCGTTCCATCTTTCTTATGCTTTTTCATCATATATTTTATATTCATTTATGCTCTTCCCGACGGTCCATATACACTTATGCATGTACAGTGTAAATCATCAACCGTAGTAGTGACTAATTATGTACATGTAATTATTTAACGCTTCGAGGATATCGTAATTCGTAATAATTGATCAATAATAGACCTCGCGATAATTAACGTTCAACACTTTGTAATAATATTCTACGTAATAATTAATATTTGCCACCATGTAATTATAGTTATCGTAACAATTTACTTCATGATCGAAATACAATGCCCTTGGGAACACAAAAAGTGATTTTTAAAAGGTTGTGACTGTATAGAAGTTAAATTTATATGCTTTCTAATATCTAGAACTGGAAAAGATTAGATTATAGAGAGAGTGTGACTATACAGGAGTTGACCGTATGAAGACGAAAACTGTAATTAATATTTGACGCTCCGTAAAAAATATTTAATTTTTTGAGATCATAATTAACACTTGAAAATCAACATTTTCCGAGTTCTTTATCTCACTGTTTATTTATTTGTTTATTCTATTATTACAGTATCTGCTCGGCACCTATTATCGCTTTTAGAAATCCAACCAAAAGATAGGAAAGCACGATTCGAAACCTTTCTAATTTTAGTATTAATTAGATTGAAACTCATGAACGCAAGAATGATAATATAGAAACTTGCTGATAGTAATTCTTGTGAGAAAACTCATATGTATATAAGGGCGAGTCCTTTTACTTGCAAATATCTTACTGTTATTACTCACCTTTAAATATTACGTACAAAGTTATTGTATTTCTTTTGTGTCTAGCATAAATTGATATTTGAATAACACCACTCTAAATAAAAATTTTTACTCTGATTATTTTTTGTTTGCTGGCATTGGATAAGTCTAGAGATGTGCCTATGCGCATAATACGCATAGTTACTAACCGATATCGTAAATGCCCATACACAATTATGCATATGGTTAAGTTCATAAATCATCACCAATT